GTGACGTGGTTATTCGTGTTGGCGTTTGCTGCTGGCTGTGAAATGTTCGCTTGCTGCTGACGCATTTGCTACGTGCTGCGCCCACTGTTGTGCGACCTGTTGATCACGTGTTTGCCCCCGTGTTCTTTGACGCCCCACAGCGTCAAGTAAATTCCCAGAGCGCAACAGAGGCAACAACAAGCAAGCACAAGCGTCAAACAGATGGAACGCAAGGAGTGTAACAAGGGTGTGTATCGGGAGCACTAACAGCCGACCGAGACATGATACAGCATCACTCAGACGCAGGCAGCCACACCCGGGCTTACACCTCCAGATATCAGAAAGGAAGAAAAAAGGTGGGCCGAGAGTGTCAAAGGTTTGGAGTGGCATATGACTCGACCCTTTCGCCTGGTGTGAGGTGCCAGTTGGCGCCACTCCAATTTGGCTCTCGACCCATCAACATTTGCCACGGTTGACTAAATAAAGCTCCCACAATAACAGGCAAAGGCAAGGCGTAACAGGCACACGGTGGCTTTACGCTTGCAAACCAGCAGCTGCTTTGGTTTGTGTGTGGCCAGAAATATTGTTGAAATTATGGTCAATTATCTACATCACACACACGCCAGCAACAACGCGCAACAAGTGCACGCTGCTGACACGCACACAGCTGCAGTCTCTGCTGGAGAGTGAGCAGCAAGCAAGCAAGCAAGTGCCTGAACGCGCTGTCTTTGAAGCTTTCTCGTTTGTGCTGTTTGTTTGTGTGTGTGTTTGTGTGTGTGTGTGTGTGTGTTGTTTGTTTGTTTGTGTTTGGTGGCGGCCACCACACAACCAAGCGTGACGGCGCGACCTTGTTCCTCCGTCTTCGTGCGGGGCGTCATGCCCTCTCGCGAAGCCAACGTACGTTGATGTGCGTGTGTGAGCATGTGAGTGTGTGAGTGTATGTGTATGTGTGTTTATGTGTATGTGTATGTATGTGTGTATGGGTGTGCGTGTAGTTTTAATGCACACGTGCGTTGTTTGTCGTCCGTTTCCTGCCTGCTGCCAACGAACCGCCTTCCTTTTGTCTCTTGTCTGCACACTCATGGACGAAAACGCGCGTGCTCTTGCGGTCGGGCTTTGCAGGATGATCAACAACCCCAGATGACATCCATCTCCGCTCACCAGCAAATGCTGGCATCATGCACGGGCGCAGTGCTGACGTCGCTCACAAGTGCGTGTGTATGCGTGTGGAAGAGTGAGAACTTTTGAAGTGTTGGAGACGCTTGTGGTTGAGCATGCAGCGTGTTGCACATGTGCCGTCGTTGCTGTCGTTGTCGTCTTGGGCTGGGGCGGGCTGTTGACAGAACCACCTGCACAAACTCACGTGCTTTTGATTTTGTCTTGTTTGTCTGCAGTGACGCCCTTTGATGTCGTAAAGAACAGACTACAAGCACAAAACCAACCACAAGGTATGTATGCGTGTGCGTGTGTGTGTGGATGTTCTTCACCTCAGTCAACATCTGCGTGCCATGCACACACACACACACACAGACATACGCACACACACACACACACTGACACACACACTGACCAACACCATCACGCTCGTGGCACACATCCACCATCTTTGCCCGCACGCATTGCGACTTGACCGCCCAACAGTACGCAACTGCACGACGACAGCGATGGGCAGCGCGGCAGCACAAACACCCGTGCACTGCCCTGGCTGTGGAACACCGCATGCACCCAGAATACGATTCCACGGCACCATGGTACGCGTGCTCTCGCATGCATGCACCATCACAGCAACAGCCACGCACACACACACACACACACACACGCATACGCCGCGATGACGAGAATGCCTTGAAAAACAAAACAAAATCAAGCAATTGCGCGAATGGCTCGGGAGGGGATTCTCACATACGCTTTTTCCCCGCGGAACCGAGGCCGCCGTGTGCGCATTCGTCCTTTTTTTCTGAGCGGTCACACACACACACATTCTCTCTCTCTCTCTCTCTCTCTCTCTCTCTCTCTCTTTCTCTCTCTCTCTCTCTCAAACTCACGTGCGTGTCTGTGCTTTTGTGTTGATTCATTCCGTGATGGGGTTGGCTGCGTGTTCCATGACGTGTTTGCGCATGCGCGTGCGTTGTGGTTTGGGTCCGTTTTGGTGGCAGGATGCGTTTTTCAAGATTGGCCGACATGAAGGGCTCAGGTCGCTGTGGCGGGGCATGACACCAACTCTGTACGTCATGCGAGACACTCGCACACGCTCACATACACGCGCGTGCTTTCATGCCGGTCTTCTTGTTCGTGGTTCCGGTGTGCACTCTGAGCGCACCTTGCCCGCGGTGTTATCCTCACACAGCACACGTGTCTCATTCCACTCCACCACCACGACGACGACCACCACCCAACACACCATGATGCAACCCTGTGTTTCTATTCTCCTCCGCTTGTTCTCTTTCGCGCGCGCGCGTGTGTGTCAGGATGATGTCTGTACCGGGCACTGTCGTCTACTTTTCTTTATACGACCAGTCAG